ACACGTAGAGGGTGCTGGCCTTGGGGAAGAACATTTATAGTCAGTTTGTGTTCCTTGTGAATCACTGGGAGAGGCAGAATATGATGATGGAGTCTGGCCCTGTCACATGGCAAGTTAAAGATGTTTCGAGGGTCGTTATGTGATGCCAGCCTTCTGCAGTGGCTTGACTTTCTTTGAGAGGTTCAGTACCTTCCCAGGGCCAGTAGCACCCTCAGATGAGGGAAAGCAGAAGGAACTTCTGTGTGGATGCCTGGCCCTCTCTTTCTCCTTCCCTGGCTGGGGAGAGAGGGCTGGGGGTTTGTGGGGACAGGGAGAGTGAGTCATCTCTGCCCTTCACTGTCATTTGATCCACTAGGGGGTAGGTGCGACTTTGTAGGTTTGTACAAAGCTAGTCGACACTTCACTGCCCTCTTGCTAGCAAAGCAGCTCAACAGCCTACCTACCCTTAGTGTGGGTCCCTGTGGCTTCTGGGTTCTCAGAAGCCCTCCTCAGCAGCAAGACTATGGGAGGCCAAGCTTTGCTGCCTTCGACTGACTGTGCCATCCTGCTCTTTCTCAGCTCTTTGCTGCTGTGTGTGGGGCCTGCGGTTTAGCATTTCCTTCCTTTCCAGTTACAGCCCCAGAAGCCCCAGCCTTGCTGTTAGAGATACTGGTGAGAGGCACCACGGCACAGAGTGGGAGACATTTTTAAGAGTCAAAGCTTGTGGGAGCCAGTGAAAGCCCAGCTAAGCTCAGGGGTGGGGGTGGGGGATACTGAGTTCTGGGTCCGCTCCGCCTTCCTTGGGCCCTCACTCAAATGGTACCTACTTGTTGAGTGCTGGTAGTTTTAAATTGTAACCCCACTGTCCTTCTGGCCAAGCTCCTCCCACCATCACACCAACATACACAGTACCTTCTTCTAACTTTGAATATTATTTCTTTAAGTATTCATTGTTAGCTAGGTGGCAGCATGGTCTTTTAATCTTACCCCTCAGGTGTGTGTGTGTGTGTGTATGTGTGTGAGTGTGTGAATGTGAGTGATGTGTGTAAAGACAAGAGACCAACTTCAGGTTTCATTCTTCAAGAGCAATCCACCTTGTTTTGTTGGAATAGGTCTTTCATTGAAATCTGGGGCCTCAGCTGGCTGTCCAGTGAACCACAGGGCTCTGCCTGTCTCTGCCTTCCCAGTGCTGGGATTACAAATGCACAGTACCTTGCCTAGTCTTTCTACAGTTTGTGCAGATCAGTCGAAGTTTTACCTCATGTCCCCATGCTTTGCACAGCAAGCACTTTATTGACTGAGCCACCTCCCCACTCCTTTGTTTGCTTCTGTCTATAAGCCGTCAAGTCCAAGAGCAGAGCTGCAGTGTTATTCTGTGGTGCACTTTAGAGTGCCCAGCGGACTTCTTGGTACTTAGAAGGCCCCTAATGCAGGTTTTTAAGTGAGCAGGTGACAAAACAAGAGTGGCTGCTGTAGCTTCTGTCACCTGTCCCATCAGAATGCAGGACGCACGCTCCTTTGACCGTCCTGTAGGAGACCTTCAGCATGCCTGCTTCAAACAACCACTGCCGGGTCACGTGTGACAATAGTCATGTCACAAACATCCTCATGCTGTGTTTAGAAGAAACTAGGAAGTGCCCCCCCAGCCCCATGCTTTAAAGTGCTTCTCACTCTAGAACAGTGGTTCTCAATCTTCCTAAAGCTGTGACCCTTTAACACAGTTCCTCGTGTTGTGGTGACCCCAACCATAAAATCATTTTCGCTGCTATTTTATAAACTGTAATTTTGCTACTGTTATAGATTGTAATGTAAATGCCTGTATTTTCCAATAGTCTTAGGCGACCCCTGTGAAAGGGTATTTTGAACTCCATAGAGGTCATGACCCATAGGTAGAGAACTGTTGCTCTAGACAGTGGTTAAATTCTGAAGTTCCAACAATGGCGTTGTTATGGAGGGCTTAACATTGCTTTATTTGTCTGTATTCTTGAGACTATTCACCTTCATCTGTCCTGTCACTCATGTGAAGGAGGAGGGTCCTGAGCAGTGACTTGGGACTGAGGAAGGAATGAAAATGTTAGGATTGTTAAGGACTGTCCTTGCTAATCTAGCAAGTTTGCACGAGAATAACTTGTTCCCATGAGCTGTCAATCAGCAGAAGGAACACAGGTTGAATGCCACTTTCACAGCTAGGAAGAGGCTCAAGAGTGTCCTTTCCCAGGAATGAAACAACACTGAGATCTGCACCAGGGTGTGGTACATTCAAGGGAAACTGAGAGATGATGGCTTTGTTGGGATGGGTGTGTGTTGTGGATACAGGCAGTCCTCATCACTTACCTACAGAACCTCTTGTTTTGTCTGAACCTCTGTCACCTCCTGCAAAAAATAATTGGGATGATCTCCGAAGCTCCTTCACTTACACAGTCTCCAAAGAACATGGAGCTGACTCACTAGGGAGGGCCATCCTTGAGTCTGGAGTCTGGAGTCCCCTGTTCTGAGGCTCTAAAGGTTGCTAGGGCTACTTGAGATATATAGCCCAGGAGCCAAGGCCCTCCCTGTGCTGGGTTTTGGTGACCTGCTAGTTCTGTGTGGATGTACCTGAGCACATGGTATAGTCAGCTATTTTGACTGAAGTTGGGCCTCGGGGGCTGGATTTAGTTTCTCCCTGTTCATGCTGTACCTTTATTGGGAGTGCTTTTTCATAAATATCCATGTGGGTGATTTAGTTACCGCTGTGATGAAATATCGGAGCAAGACAACTTAAAGGACTGATTATTTTGGCTCATGAAATGAGTACGCTCTTTGGCTCTGTGGCTTCTCGGCCTGTAGTGAGGCAGAGAATAAGTATGAAAGGGTGTAGAAAAGCTATGCATCGTGAGACACAAAACATAACAATCCCAGGTAGCCTGAAGAGTCCCCTTCTCCTTCAGGGACCTCCACTCAGGTGAAACCATCTTTGACTTCACTGCAGAAAAGAAATTCAGGATGAGCTTGTGTGAAGCAGAGTTCATTAAAAATAGAAAGAATATTTGGCATATATTTAAACACAGGGGTTACTAGAAGGAGATGCCCAGAGAGGGTGATGTGAGCTGCTTTAAGGACAGTAGCCCCTAAGTGTCTTAGGAGTCCCCATACATTCTGCTTGGCTGCTCTCAAGTTACAGCCCATGTGTTTACTAGAAACAGACACCCCCCTCACCCTTCTGCCTCTTTTTTAAAATTTATATATTTTTAATGAATTTATTTTTTATTAATTTTAGTTTATTCACTCTGTATCCCAACTGTAGCCTCCTCCCCCATCCCCTCCCATCCCACTCTACCTCCTTCTTTTCCATCCAGGCCCCTCCCCCAGTCCACTGATAGGGGACGACCTCCTCCTCTTACATCTGACCCTAGCCTATCAAGTTTCATCAGGAGTGGCTGCATTTTCTTCCTCTGGCCTGATAAGGCTGCCCCTCCTACCCCCACTCTCAGGGGGAGGTGATCAAAGAGCCAGCCACTGAGTTCATGTCAGAGACAGTCTCTGTTCCCCTTAGTAGGGAACTCACTTGGACACTAAGCTGCCATGGGCTACATATGTGCAGGGGTTCTAGGTTATCTCCATGAATGATCTTTGGTTGGAGTATCAGTCTCAAAAAAAAACAAAACAAAAAAAAAAAAAAAAAAACTGTGCTGAGATTTTTTTTTTTAATTTTTGGCTCTCCTTGTGGAGCTCCTGTCCCCTCCAGGTCTTTCTGTCTCCCCCTTCTTTCATAAGATTCCCTGTACTCTGCCCAAAGTTTGGCTCTGAGTCTTAGCCTCTGCTTTGCTACCCTACAGGGTAGAGTGTTTCAGAGTCCCTCTGTGGTAGGTTCCTGTTCTGTTCCCTGTTTTCTCTCTCTTCCAATGTCCATCCTGTTTGCCTTTCTGAATGAGGATTGAGCATCTTACCCAGGATCCTCCTGTCTCTTTTTGATTAGGGAAATTACAGGATGGCTCCATATGTTTACAATATTATAAAAATAAACCATGAGACACAAGACTATGCAAGGAGGTGAAGACATGTCTTTCACCGCCAGTGTGCTTTCTAGTGAGATTCCTAGAAAACTGTAGGTTTTTGCTAGTGGAGAAAGGTCATGTATACATTGGTATTAAGCATGATTTGTTGCTATTTTAACATCCTTATTAAAGCATCTCTCTATTAAATGTCTCTGAATGCCTTTGCAGCAAATGTTGTCAGTTGTATTTGCATTCTTGGCTTTAAGCTGGTGGGAGTCTTTGAGCAAATCCTGGATGAGGGGCTCTTCTTCCACAGCTCTATCATTTAGTTTGTTTTTCTGTCTTTCCTCAAATGAGTTTAACTGTTGCTTTATGTAAAGCACTCAGTGATCTGATCATCTCTGGAAATACTCTCACAAACACAGAGGAATTGTGATGTCCTAATTTCTTAGGTATCTCTCAATCCAATTAAGTTGATAAGCAAGATTGGCCATCATACCATGTCACTAAGTAGATACAATGAGGGACAGTGTTGGGGGCGGGGATAACAGGATGAATAACAGCCTATTGGAGGTTGTGTTAAGAAATCCACATGGGCAGCTGAGCCGCTTTGATCACGCATGTAAGCCAGGCACGCGCACAAGAATGATCAACCAAGGCTCGGGGGACCACGCCCTATGTATGACAGAATAGTGAAACAACACTAGTGGGCAGATCATACATCCCCAGACCTCCAGAGCAGGGAGGAGCCAGGTGTAAGCTGACCAGTTTTTAAGGCAAACTTGGAGCCAGACTATGAAGGTTCAGGTCAGAGGTGACAGAGAGCTTCATGGGAGCAAGAGAAGTGATTGGCACTGGGTCAGGTCCTGAAGAAGGAGGTGACAGGTTCTAGCTAGGTGAAGACAAGGTGTGAGGCTGACTTAGGGAGGATGGGCACAAAAGAAGATTGTCCAAGTTGGGCCTGCATGCTTGGAGGCCATGTGGATCAGGAAGGGGAAGACCAGGAGGAGACTCTTTTCTCTTTTCATATGTGTCTTTATCTTGTAGGATTCTCAGCAAGTTAAGTCAAGACATCAACAAGAACGAAGAGAGAAGAAGCATTTTTACACGAAAGTGAGTGGGCAGCTCTGGCCTACGTGCCACTACAAGGGGACTAAAGAATTAAAATCCCGAACTGAGCCTTGAAAGGAATCTGCAACACTGGTGTTGCCCTGACTGTTTTCCCTGTGTTGGTCTCCTCTGTCTCAGGGGTCATGAAGAGAGTGTCCAAGGAAGGCAGGGATTTCCCTTTCCCTGGCAAACATTTTTGCCCCAGGATCCAGGACATCAAGGGAACACTCCCTAGATCTTTAAACAGTCACAAGTTTCCTTCTGTGACACCAGTGAGGCTTTAGTGGTCTCCAGAAGCTGGGGGACAGCCAAACTCTGGTTGCTAAGCAATAAGGGTACATAAGTTTTGGGTAGTGAGACATAATCCTCATTGGTGTAGAGGGCTAATCTGGGGGTAGGAGAAGCCCTTAGATTGACAGGCTACTGAGATGCTGTTTGTTTGCCCTTACAGACCCCAGGTTCAGCGGTTTCCTGAGGAGACAGGTAACAGTACTGGGGCTGAGTGGCAATTGCTTTAGGAGGTGATGTGTGCTTCAGTGCTGGCCTCTTTGAGTGCCGAGCATGGGACCCGACTCATTAGCTCATCAGCCAGGTCTTCGTCACGGAAGGGTATTCATTCTCACTGAGAGGAGGAGGGATGCCACTCTAGAGGTATGCTGCAGAACTCTACTTGCTCTGTGGGGCAGCCTAGACTCAGCTTTGAACACCTGAGCTGAGCCAGTGTCTGAGTCTTTCAGGCAGTTTTCCACTGTTCAATTGCACAAAAGATCTAGATTTGGGTTCGAGGACCCAGCCCAGTCCTATTGAATAAGGGACCCCATGAATAAAGCCCCTGTTCTTGCTCTATGAAAACAATCCTGGGTGACTTTTATATGCACACAAGAAAGATTAGGTACCACTGCTGCTCTCTGGCAGAATGATCTCTTTAGATAGAAATGCTATGGACAATCATAAGCTGTTATCTTAGTATGTTTTCTGTGGCTATAACACTGTTCCTAAAGCTAGTTTATTTATAATGGAAAGAAGTTTATCAAGTTCAGAGTTCTAGAGGTATAAGAGCATGGTGCTGCCATCCATTCAACTTCTGGCTAAGACTTCATTACAAATAGCATCATGTGTGAAAATATGAGAATAGTAAGGGGCCAAAATACCAGGAGTAGGCTTGTGACTTTACTCCAGTCTGGAGAAACTCAAGTTAGTCTCTTAGAGAAAGGTGTTAATTCATCCACCCTTTCAACCTAATTATCTCTTAATGGTCCTAACACTTCTCATTAGCACAACATTAAGATTAACATGCACTTTGATGGGGGATAAATTGTACTCATCGCAGCAGTTGCTGGCCCCCCCACATGTAGAAGGAAGGCTAAAGGCCTATGATGGACACTGGGCTGGGGAAGAGCTGTGCAGACTGACTCCCTGTTGGGTGCTGATGGTGGTGTCATCTCTTTCACAGAAAGCCACGATGAAGAAGACAATGGTGGCTGGTCATCCTTTGTGAGTATAGCTCAAGCTAAGTCACTCTTTTTTTGTTGTTTTGATTAGTTTTGTTTTTTTTTTTTTTTGTTTTCTTTTGTTTTGTTTTGTTTTTCAAGACAGGGTTTCTCTGTGTAGCCTTGACTGTCCTGGGCTCACTGTATAGACCAGGCTGGCCTCAAACTCACAAAGATCCACCTGCCTCTGTCTCCCGAGTGCTGGGATTACAGGTGTGTGCCACCATGCCTGGTCTCTAAGAGATGGCTCAGGGGTTAAGAGCACTGGCTGTTTTTCCAGAGGACCTGGGTTTAATTCCCAGCACCCACATGGCAGCTCATAACTGTCTGCAATTCCAGTTCCAGGGGATCTGACACAGACTTACATGCAGGCAGGATACCAATGTACACATACAATAAGTAAATAAATTATTTTTTTTTAAATGGGGCTGGAGAGATGGCTCAGTGGTTAAGAGCACATGCTGAGTCACTCTTGTAGCAACAGCCAGAATGGCCTTACATCGACCTTAATGCTGAAAAGGGAGCACACTCCCTCCACTAACAAGACATTGAAACATCCCATTTCAGGGTCCAGAAAGGGCCAGGCAGTAACTATTTCCAGCTTTGGAAGCCCAAATGTTTCTCTCTCTACTACTCAGCTCTGCCCCTGTGGCATAGAAGCAGCCATGGGCAGTGAGCGAATGAGTGGGCTCAGCTGTGGCGGTAGAGCCACCCTGATGAATACAGAGGTGGGCTGTGACTCACCGGCCACACCATTTATCACTGCCACCATACCAAATAGCAGCCCTTCCCTTTCCACTATCTTTCCTAGAAATCTATGCTATTGTAACCTTTCTCATGGACTTGGTAACACAGAGGGAAAAGTGTTACGGAAGGAAGTGTTAGCACTGGAAAGGCTCCCACGCCTATTTTATATTGAAAGGGTCACAGTGCCGACACCTTTCAAAGTCCGATGACCACACATGGTCGTCACATACAAAGCCATGTGGGGGTAAGAATTCTGTGCTGGAAGAGAAAGCTGGGGAGCCGTTTGCCTGGTAGAGGCAGAAGTGGGACCCAGGCTGCCCAACTCTTTACCTAAGTCGTCTTTCTGGTAAGCGGCCGCCTCTGGGTCTTTTAAAATCCATACAAGGACTGTCCCTTGTTCTATTGGGATTCTAGTAAATGAAAGCATTTCATTTGAAAGAAAATGGCTTTTGGAAAAGTCTGGTTTGTAAGGGAAAACAAAGGAATGCAACAGATTATTTTTGTACAAAAGGAACAAGAGAGCCAATTTCCCCAGATGTGTTTGTGCGTCAGCAGCTGGATTCCTGCCAAGGCTTGCCCTGAGTCCTGCGTGCTCAGCCAGGGACTGACTAGTCTTCAATCCTGTCCCAAAAGCATGAGTTTTCCAGTCTCTGGAGGCCATCATACTTTGTGGTTCCCTTCTGTGACAGATCTGTCGGGAGGACACTGGGGTCTTGGACAGACTTCTCATAGAATCCATACTGTAAAATGTCATCCTGTGACACCTTTACAAGCTGTGCTGTCCCTCCACTGTATTGGCAGGAAGATGACTACGAAAGTCCCAATGATGATGATCCGGATGGGGAGGACGATGGTGACTATGAGTCCCCCAATGAGGAGGAGGAGGCGCTGGTGGACGATGCTGCAGACTATGAGCCTCCGCCCTCCAACGATGAGGAGGCTCTGCAGAGCTCCATCCTACCCGCCAAGCCTTTCCCGAACACCAACTCCATGTACATTGGTAAGAGCCTCTTTTGCAGCCTGCTGGCCCTGGCAGCCCTGGGACAAGCTGCCCACTGAGCTGCTCTGGGTGCTGATTGCTGCTCTTCTGAAAATCTGTGTAGCATGAGGCCAAAGAATCTGTTTATCTGGGCATTTCCTCATGAGTGAAGTGGGCTAATGATAGACCAGAGGACAGAGGCTTGCTGGGAAGAGGGCAGTCATGTGGCACTGCCATCTACAGATGGTCACAATAAATGTGAAGATACTCAGAGGAGTTGCTTCTGCCTTTACAGTGAGACAGACTTTAGGATGTCCTTCAACTACCTGTTTCTCTATACCCATATATACTTATATACTTCTTTCTTTTCCTTCCTTTCTCACTTTCTTTCTCCCTTCCTTCCTTCCTTCCTTCCTTCCTTCCTTCCTTCCTTCCTTCCTTCTTTTCTCTCTCTCTTTCTCAAAGTCATAAATGTTACTCATCTCTTTTTGTGAGCCAGAGACCCATGTGCTGAAGCCATCAGGAAGGAAGATGTCCCTTTGTCTTTTGAGAATTACTCTCCAGTAGAGGCAGTGACAGAGAATGAACACAGGCACACTTGGCTTCCTCTGCATGGAGGGAGCAATGGATCTCACCCTGGGAGCTGTGCTGTACTCTGCTCCAGACTCCACCCCACCACCTTACTTTGTGTAGTGAGGGACAGAACACTAAAGCTAACAGGCAGGGAGCTGCAAGTATCATCAAGGCTGTTCCAGACTTAGGGAAATGGAGCAGAAAAGGGAAACCAGGTTGGAGAGTGTCTCTAGGTGCATGTCACAAAGACACAGAGTGAGCAAGACAGAGCTCTTCCTCGCTCACTCTTGGTCTGGTGGATGGGGCCACACTAAACAGATACACTCTGTCATTACATTAAGTCAGTGTGATCAATGGGTTTGCTCTTTCAGGATGTGACACTTGAGCAGTAATCTTTGGCTGGTGTTAACTAGTGTATTAAGACTGAGTAAGAGTCCGTTGTACATGAGGCTGAGTGGGGTAAGGGAGGAACATTTGAAGCAGTTGAAATGGCAGCACAAAGGCCCTGAGATCCCAAGGAATGTGGCCTGTCAGAGGAGGTAGACGGCAGCCTGTGGTGTGGAGACCAGGCTTGCCCTTACTCCTTGCCTGAGACCCTTCATGAGGGCTGACAAAAAGGAGGTGAATCAAGAGAGCACGCAATGGTTTTTCTAGTCCAAAGTTCCAGCCTCCTTCTACAATCCTCTCAAAACTAACGTAGCCTCTTAGTTAGGGTTTCTGTGGCTAAAATAAAGCACCAGGGCTAAAAGTTAAGATGCTAGGAAGCCCTTGCCTGCTTGCTGCTCATGCCTCAAAGTTCCATGCTGGCCTCTCCCAGTCAAAAGGGTAAGAACTCCCAAACTTGTCAAGCTGGTCTTGGGCAGTTCTGTGGCGATCAGAATAACGTGAGTGTCCGAGTAAGGCAAGACCATGTGCTGTCTAATTTGGTAACGGAGTTGGGGGACAGCTCCTCCCTTTAGGAGAGGAGACAGGCAAAAGGAGGAAGTAGGAGGGTATAGCAGCCCAGGGGGAAGGAAGTAACAGAACAAGGGGCCCACGGGAGTGGCAGCTAACTTAATCCTGATAAGCAGCTCTGTGCACAGTGTGAGCATGTCTGTGCAGGCATGCACACATGTGTAAGCGTACATGCATAAGTGTCAGCATACACTCATGTTTCTGGGCATGTAAGTGTGCATGTGAACATACACACGTGTGCTCTGTATGTACATATTTGCATATATACACACACAGGATCATGTATGCATATGTATTTATATATACACATATATACTTGTACATCCACATATGTAGACTCACTGGGGTAATTCTGTAGAGGCTTCCTTTGACTAGCAGTGTCTCAGATATTACCTGTTTGTGCGAGGTACGATGGGAGTTATTCCCCCGTATATGAAGAGTCAAGCCAACTCTACAGGAAGAGGAACAGACAGGGGCCAAGGACTCCCATCCTTCTGTTGGACCCAGGCTGGGTCTGGCTATAGCTGGGACTCATGCTGGTGCAGGTCTGGAGGACAAGGATCAGGTGTTCCTGGCACCTTAAGCTGCATGGCCAGGCACAACATGTTCCAGGAGAGTCCCGCACTTATACAACATTCACTTCAGTTTTTCATTGCTTCATTCTTTTCTTTTCTTTCTTTTTTCTTTCCTTTGCTTCCTTCCTTTCTTTTCTTCTTTCTTTCTTCCCCTTCTTTCTTTCTTTCTTTCTTTCTTTCTTTCTTTCTTTCTTTCTTTCTTTCTTTCTTTCTTTCTTTCTTTTTCCTTCCTTCCTTCCTTCCTTCCTTCCTTCCTTCCTTCCTTCC